GAGACACCAGAGGCACCATCACCATCCCTCCTGCCTCGGCCCGTCCTCCATTCCTGCCTCGATCCTCTCTCCTCCCTCCCTCCGCCCTATCGGCCCTTCCTCGCTCCCTTTCTCCTTGTTTCCTCCCTCGCCTTCTCCCTCCTCCCTCCGGTGGCGTTACCTACACCGGCTCTCCGTCCTCCCTCGCTTCGTGCTCTATTATTTGGGGACGATATAGAGAGTGCATTCCGTTTTTCTTAGCTTTTTCAATTTGCATTAAGACTTAGCGCCACTTTTTTTTCAATGTGAATAAGGGCGAGCGTGTGCACGCGCGCGCGCGCGCGCGCGAGAGAGAGAGAGAGAGAGAGAGAGAGAGAGAGAGAGAGCTGACTTAGTGTGGTGTGTGTAGGGATTGGGGGGAATGGAGCGATCTTGATAACAAACGGCGCCTTTACGTCCAAGGATAAAGGAAAATAAGTATTTCTTACATCGGGCGTTACAAAGGAAGGGCGGCCGGTCGAGGGAGGAAGGGGGAGGTAGGGAGTAGGACGGAGGGAGGAATGGAAGTAGGAGGTCAGGTGGTGATCGGGCTGAGGAAGGAAGGGGAGGGAGGAGATCGAGGGAAGGTGGTCAGACAGAGATCAGGCGAACGAAGGGGGCGAGCGAAGGGGAATGAGGCGGCCAGGCGGACGAAGGCCAGGGGGAGGTTGAAGAGAAGGTGCGGAGGAGGCCTGTAGGAGGTCAGGTGGAGACCTGGCCAAGGAAGGAAGGGGAGGAATGAGATTGGGGGAAGGAGGAGGTCAGTGCAAATAGGGCGGAGGGAGGAGTAGGACGAAGGAGATAGAGGGGAGGTCAGGCGAAGAAAGGAAAGGGAGTCAGGTGGCCAGGCGAGGGAGGGCAGAGGGAGGCTTAAGAGAAGGTCCAGAGGAGGCCGGGAGAAAAGGGAGGCGGAAGGGGTAGGGCGAAGGGAGGACAAAGCAGAACGTAGTTCAGAGGTTGAGTGACGTATGGAGGAAGGGAAGAGGTAAGGGGGAGACGAGCATGGG